TATCGCCAATCACAGAATCATTCTCTTAGATCTGTTTGCAAATTTCGCAAGCATATCTAAGAGAATGATTCTGTGATTGGCGATACGCGAATCCGTTTATGCACAATCCGCTGCATGGGACCTCACCCTTACTGTTAATATTAATGAAATTATTGTGGGTTGAATCGATTTGTCACTGTGTGTGTAACAAATAGTATCATCATAAATTATAATCTACATAAAATGATTACTATAAGGCGTGTAAAAGACCTAGTGGTTATTTCGCGATACATTCGTGTAGAGGAACAGTAAGTCCGGATCTACAATAGGTGTTTTATGCCTTATGCCGTAAGAAACTGACCAATTACAGTCGAATCCGAGAAGAATAAGCGACTGTGATTCGCCCATTTCTTATGGCTTAAGGCTTAAAACCCTATTGTAGATCCGGGGTAAAGCATGTTGTATAACAAAATACAAGTACTTTGCTTTTGTATTCTTTGTTTAATTTGTTGAAACCCTTGCATTTTTGCCATATATCCAATCCATTATCTATATATAACAAAAATGCAAGATTTAAAAAAGTTTATTTTTTAATACGAAAACTAAATATTTCGGATTTCTAATATTTTTTTCATAGTAGTGGACAGTACAAAGTTTTTACTGATATTCGTTTATTTTAAACATAGTAAATGGGTAGCACCCAGTTGGACACGATTCAATTGGACACGAGCTACTCACAGCGCTTGAGACTACAAAATTCCTAAGCACCGGTCGCTGTGATTGGTGGTGTCCAATCGAGCCGTGATCAATCGGGATCACCCCAACATATTCTAGCATATAGCAACCATTTTTTGCATCTATAAGGCTATAATGGAGAAAATATTAGAAATATGAATAAATAGGTTTGTTCTTCTTGCTTACTGTGTACACTTTAGTGTAAAGTGTACACTTTAGCGTTCTTCTTGTTGGAAGTGACGTTAAGCCAGAATCCTCATACGGGCAACAGCGCTTTGACACCGAACGCTAATTGGTGGAAAGCCGGCTGTGGGGGTAAAATTTACCCCCATCACCCGTTTTTCACCAATCAGCGTTCGGTATCAAAGCGCTGTTACCCGTATGAGGATCCGGGTTAAGGTGTATGATATATGTATTACACGCTGTTTGTCTTGAAAGTGTAATACACTTTAATGTATTTTATAACGAGACAAATTACTACTGCTCAAAAACGGCTGAATTGGTCCATATGAAACTTTCAGGACATAAAGTTGGCAACCTTGCGATGACATCTGATGAGCTGTTCAATCATATTTTGTAAACATAACCTCAAATTTACTCAGTTAACGATGGCGAGTCCGCTCGAGAATTGCACCGTGGAAGAACAACGTGCCGTGATCAGATTTTTAGTCGCGGAAGGTGAGAAAGGTAGTAAAATCCACGAAAGAATGTTAAAAGTGTACGGAGACAATTGTTTGAATCGTTCGAACGTTTACAAATGGGTAGATCAGTTTCAAAGTGGCCGTACAAAAATTTCTGACGAGCAACGCAGTGGACGACCGGTCGAAGTTGGGACTTTCTCTCTCGAATCTCGGATTGATGCGTTAATTCAGGGCAATAGGCGTATCACTGTTGAACTGATAAGTGAAAAAGTAAATGCGAGTGTTGGAACTGTCCATAACATTATAAACAACAAGCTGCAGTACAAGAAAATCTGTGTGAGATGGGTACCAGACAACTCATGGATGCTCACAAAGAAACCCGGCTTCAAATCAGTCAACAGTTGAAAAATCGATATTCGACTGAAGGAGAAGAGGTGGGAGATCCTTCCACATCCCCCGTACAGCCCCGACCTCGCCCCATCAGACTTCCATCTGTTTGGACCCCTTAAAGAGGGTCTACGAGGGAAACATTTTCAATCCAACGAAGAAGTCAAAAATCAGGTGCAAAAGTGGCTTCGAGATCAACCCAAAGAATTTTATGCCAAAGGCATTTACAAATTAGCAGAAAGATGGGACAAGTGTATAAGTGTTGCTGGGGACTATGTTGAAAAGTAACCAATGTTTTGTACTGATTGAATAAATCGTTTTTGAGCAACAGTAATTTGTCTCGTTACTTATTGAATGACCCTCGTACATTTGCAATTATTAATATAAATATTTAGCTAATACATTATTAAATTTATGTTTTTTATTATATAAATGCTCTATAAATAAGTATACATATTTGTAATACTATAATATCTTAATATTGTCACAAAATTACAATTTTTTCTCTACAATTATCATTTCCATTGATAATCAAACCCAGACGTTCACACGGTTGAATTAGCTAATTGCAGTTACTCGCTCTATGTACAATGGAGGAAATATTAGAAATAGGAATAAATATTAAATTTCAATCCATTAGAAATTAGAAATTGTGTATTCCGGTATTACTGGTATATCTGATAAGTTCAAATTTTAATATTTATTACTGTTTCTAATATTAGTTTTATTGTGCACAGTAGGCCCTTATTCCATTCTTCAGAGGAATAGCTACGATTATGATGCGACCACAATAGAAGGAATAAGGAATAAGGATTCCAATTTATTAGAAACCGCGTATTCCGATGTATTCGATATCTGATAGGTTGAAATCTTTATTCCTTATTCCTAATTCCTTATTCCTTCTATTGTGGCTGCTTCTTTACGTGTAAACGTGATAGTTGGTGATAGGCCTAGTTTACACCGGGAGGATCCCGTTTGCCTACAGTTCTGATTGTACACACCACTCAACTGGTATTATTTTATTTTTAAATTGACCAATCAGCGATATGCGATGTGTGCAATCGGAGCCCTCCCGTTTACTCCGGATCTACAATAGGTGTTTTAAGCCTTAAGCCGTAAGAAATTGACCATTTATAGTCGAATCCGAGAAGAATAAGCGACTGTGATTCGCCCATTTCTTATGGCTTAAGGCTTAGAACTCTATTGTAGATCCGGAGTTACACCCAGGGTTCGATCCGAGTCGGAATGTAAGAACCAACCAACTGCAGTCGAGCATTCCTCTGTTACCCCGGATCTACAATAGGTGTTTTAAGCCTTAAGCCGTAAGAAATTGACCAGTTATAGTCGAATCCGAGAAGAATAAACGACTGTGATTCGCCCATTTCTTATGGCTTAAGGCGATGCTAAAGCCCTCCTGTTTTACCACATTCCTATTCGGTGGGATTTCTCCGTATTGGATGTACGGATTGCAAAAGTATTATTACTTAAATTATAGTACGCACACAGAGGATGTTTGCTACACTGGATTTTATGAGAAAATCGAAAAAAAATTATAAAATTTACTTATTTTTGGCTCGCACAGCTGTCACCTCGGATATATATTTGCTTGATATAAGAGTTTTAGAGTCCATATCTTGAAAATAAGCGGGCAGCAAACATCACATTATTGAAACGAACGATACCGAATTTGTAGAACTAAGATTGAAAGTCTAGAAAAGATATATTCCCACCGAATAGGAAATACGTGTATACAGATGCTTTGCGAAGACTGGGACTGTCAACAGAGCCGAAATTCCGTGTAGCAGTAGTTGCGCGGTCTTTCGATAGATGGTGCTGGCATATGTTAGATAAGAACAGATGTATGCGTTTGAGTAAGACAGAATGATATATATTATATAATATAATGTAAAAACTAAATTAAAGATGTCACCACTATTATCGAATTTGGAATTAAAAAAGTCTGTACTATCGACCTTGATTGAGTTGGATAATTGGTTTAGCATCCCCAAGGCTTAAAACTCTATTGTAGATCCGGACTTATGGCGTGTGTACACGATGCTAGAAATCGGTTCGAGACCTTGGATGAAGAAAGAATTGACCAATCGCAATGGTTATGTGATCAAATTGTTCAAATGTGATTTGTTAATTTTTTCTCTGAGACCGATTTTTAGTATCATGGACATTAGGCTTTACATTCCGACTCGGATCGAACCCTGGGGCTCTATTCTTGAAAAGAAACGTATACGAAAGTCTAGGGAAATACTATAGTATACGTAACGTATACTGTAGCATTTCCCTAGACTTTCGTATACGTTTCTTTTCAAGAATAGAGCCCCTGGGTGTAAACGAGGCGATAGTTAGAAGTGAAAATTCCTGTAAATTCCTTCATCTCGATTGGTCAAGCGTGGTCAAGCGTTTCAAAGCGTTCGACGTTGGCAGAGCGTCAATGGGCGTCAAGTGGACATCTACTGATCTACACACTATGTAGTCGATGGTCAAAGTCGATAGCTCCGGAATGGCGCGAAATAGCGAAGAAACTTTTCCGCGAATGGGCGGCAGTCCGGCTTCCGGTAGTATTGGGCAGTATCAAAAGTATGCAGTAGTATAATATGTAATACGACGCGACGGTTGGGTTGACCAACCTTTGTCGTCAGGCCACGCCGAGCGAAAAGGATGATGGCGCTGTTATCGCGGTTTGCTTTTCCGGTGCATATGGTGCGCCGTTCAATTTTTCTCGGCTGGCGCGTAATTTGCATCACGGCCGGTCCGGCAGCACTGACTGCCGTTTGCTACCGTTTCACGAACCGCGACGTGTCCGTCGCCGACGTTGCCTGACGTCCTCGACGTCGCGAGATTCGTCGCTACCTGCCGTATTTTCTGCCGATTTCTCAAATCTCAAGTCTCCGGTCTCCGGCTTGACGCCAGTGGACGTCAGAAGCCGGAAGTGCACCTGTGCAGTGTGCACTGATGTGCACGTCGGGTTGGGTTCATCGTTGAGCGTCAGCCCGTCAGCCTCAGCGGCCTCAGCTGTCCTACTACGTCTTGCTCGTAACTCGTTGTCGGAGCGCAGGAAAATGGCGACCGCTGTGCCGTCTCGATTCGCCGTCCTCAGCATCGAAGACGACGATTACAAGCCGAAGAAGACGCAGAAGAACGCGACGACGAGCAAGAACAATGCCAAGAGCAAGGGCGACAAGTCCAAGCCGCAACAACAGCAGCAACCACCGAACAAAAAAAAACAGAACAAAGTATGACGTGTGCGTCCTCCGTTGCGTTTTTGTTTTTGATTAGCCGGCTGACCGCTGAACGTCAACCGGATGCGACATCACTGATCACGGCGGGAAATCGCCATCTTTCAAATCCTCTCGATGACGATATGTCATTGGCTTTTTTCTTGATTTTAGGGAAAAAAGAAGAAAACGAGTAACGATGACCAGCAGTGGGAACAGTGGAAGCAGAAGGATACGATGGTAAAATATGAATTTTTCACTAAATTATTTTATCCAACATTTATTATTTATCAAGTGATTCTTTTCTATCTATATATTGCCAAAATTTCTCACGTCCGAATATTTTGTCTTGCAAAGGCATATTTTATTTTTAGTTTTTCCATTTTCTCTTTATTTAGCAGAACTAACGAGATAATTGATATATAATGGAAAATTTGAAATGTCAAATCTGAAATTTTATTTTTGCATAGAAAGTCCAAGAGATTATTTTAAACGTTTTTATTGAGTTCTGGTAATTGTATATAACTTAATAATAATTTCTTATCCTTTTATTATGTTCAATTATAATTATCCTAAGGCTGTCGAAGAAACGTTTGAGCAAGAATTGCATCAAGCCATCCTGCTGTCAAAATTGGCATATGAAGAACAATTAGTTAGTGTAGCAAAAAATGAAAAGGAACAAGAACAGAATAAAAAATCTGGTAAAAAGTCGAAAAAGGCGACTATGTCCTTGGAAGAATTTAATAGCATGGGAACAAGTGCGACGGTAGTACCAATAAATGAGCCTACAGATAAGTCAAGAGGTATTATTTTATTATATAACTCGAGAATGAATAGAAAGATTATATTGTTAATGTAGAAAAAGTAAAACAGACTTTCTTTAACACTGCCTTTTATAGAAGTAGACACGGAATTTTTTGAGAGAATAGAGAAAGAGACGAAAGAAGAAATAACAAAAGGGAAAGAAAAAGATATATTGAAGGCCAGATTAAATAAAATCGATGATGACATAACATTTGCACAGTTAAGAGTAGAAATTGAGAAACGTGATGAAGTAATTGGCCAATTGAGGGCAGAGGTACACATGTTGAAAGAAGAATTAACACAAGTTAAAGAGAGAAATAAAAAACTGTATCAAATATTGTCACATGGTGAGAGTAAGTATCACGTTTTTTATGCATCAGATATATGTAAACTTTTGTTATTCGTAATCATTCCTTTATTTTAGTGAAGGATAAAGCATCAGTATTGGCTGAAGTTGCAAAACTACAAGAGATACGAGATGAACTAACATCCGAGGTAGCTTCTTTACATGCTCAACTGGAGCAAGAAAGATCTAAAACACGTACATCAAGTGTAGATGTAAAAACATCTAAACAAACTGTACGTACGCGATACATTGTTTCATCAATTTTTTTTTAAATGTATTTGGATAATTTTGTGCTTACTGCATCTTGTATCTTTCAGAACAAGAAGAGGCCGGCCAGTGAAAATGCCTAATTTGTTTTTCACGAAAAACTACCATTGTGATCAATTAATTTTAATTAACGATGCATATTGATTAAGTAGCAATTTGAGAAGGAACATTATATTTTCAAAGAGAAACATTTATTTCTTATCGCATGTACAGCATATATTGTATTTGCTCGTTAAAAATAAGTTTAAAATACGTTAGACAACAATTAGCTGATCGTTTCACGAGGATATATCTTGAAAGTAGGATTATAGCCTATATGTTGATAACCTTTTATTTTTGCCTTCTTTTTTTAAAGACTAATGCATGTAGTTTATTTTTCGCATTTCTTTTCTTAATACGTTGGTGAGTTTCTGGAATTTGGAAATGTTACGTCAGAGAAAACTTTCTGAAATAATATATTTGCTAAAGCTCTTCCAAACTAAGAATTTAGTATAATGTATCATCTTCCGATATTTTGCGTATTAACATACATACGTATCCGTGTGAATATAAATATAAATTTATATTCACACATACACAAACGCAAGCATGTATGTATGTTGGTTGAGATA